AAGCCGCCGTATAACGCCGGCTACGATTTGAAATGGACAGACAAGCCGTGATTTTGATGTTGCCAGAAAACGACAGCCGTAAAAACAGACGGAGGAGAACGAGATCAAGAAGGTTTGACCAGCGTGTATGGAAAGTTAATCTGCCGAATCTCCAGTTTCCAAATTCATGTCATGTCACACACTATCCAGATTCTATGCTCACTTGCAGAAGCAATACATTATTATATTAGCAAAACCCTATATTTAAATATACTCCGATATAGATTCCTCTGTGATGCATTAGATAATCTTGAATTTTTAAATAACATTACCATGTTATATATATATATATATATATATATATATATATATTTATTTGGGTGTGTTTGGATTTCAAATTTACTCTTACACTCTACTTATTTATTTTAATAAATGTAACTACCAAACTACCCTATTAATATTTAAAGTCAATTATAAAAGTTTTATCTCTTTTTTTCTTGTGTTGTGATTTGTTTACTCTTTTTTCTTCGTTTTTTTTATTGAAAACTTTCTTTAAACCTTAACTACATCTTAATGTTAAAAAGTATTCTCTTCAAATAGAAAAGAAAATGAGTTGCAAGCTTACTGCCAAAGAAGAATAAATTTAAAATAAAAAATAAATAAAAATTAATTTGGAAATGGCCATTTATTTTCTAATAATAATTTCTTTCTATGTTGTGTCGGTGATTTTGAAAAGTTTAGAATTGCATCCAAATTCAATACCCACAAGATTTTCAATACAAAAAAAGAAGATTGAAGAAACAACAATGGTGGGGACACTACCACTTGGAGTAGCCAAAGGCCCTTTTTTTTCTTCCGGCAAAGCAACTCCTCCAACTCTATTTCTGCGTCCACTTGGTGTTATCTCTCTCTTATGTTCTTTTTATGAAATTTTTATTTGGTCTTCTAAAATTATGCTCATTTATATTAAAGGATTTGTACTTTTTTTTGGGTGTATCTCTGATTTATTTTTGTACTTCACATACATAGCAACCAAATTACACCTGAAATATAGAATCTTTTTAGTCTAATTTTTTTGCAAATCATATATTCTATTTTTTTCTGATTGTTCTATAGCAGCAAACCAGCAACTCAATTTCTTTTTTATTTGATTCGAAAAAAGAAAAAAACATAGACAAAAAGTGAAAAAATTACTACGCAAACAAAACAAAGATATAAAACTTTCATATTTAACATAGAATGTTAAGAGGCTACTTTGGTCATGGTATTTATTAAAATAAGTACCGGAGTGTCGGAATATATTTGTAGAGCGCCAATATTAACTCCCTTTTTGAATAGCATTACTATCTTACATTTTTATCAGTGCAAAACATCCTCACACACAATCTCCAATTTCATTATTGTCTTGAAATTAATTTAAAAAATGATAATAATGTATAATTTAAATTTTTTTTTTTTTTTCAATTTCAATTTCAGGCAACTAAAAGTAGTGCACACACTCAACTTATCATAGTATTAGACTGGAGGTATAAGTTAATAATTTAACTTTAAAAGGCCAAATCTAGTTTTTTCTCTTTTATATATATATATATATATATATATATATATATATATATATATATATATATTTCCCATCTCCTTCAAACAATTTTTTTTTAAATAATAATATTTTGATATTCTCAAGCATCTAATATCAAATTGGAGTAATTTTATTACCATAAGGCAATTAATCAAAATACTCTATATTATATATGCATTTTTACGTTGTTGGAGGATAATTAACTTCCTCCAACTCACTCAATGGTAAATTGTTATTGAGAGTTAAATTCTTCTTTCATCACATATGCTGAAAGTATCATCACACGACATTACATTAATACAAGCATGTATGGATATAACAATCTTACACATCCATGTATAACACAATATTTTACACGATTCACCTAATTTTGGGGTTACATCGAACACAGCTAGTTTAATAATCGTGTCAGGAACCCTCAACACTAATCTGATCTATTTATTAAACAGATTACACATGTAACTCATTTAATGACCTATTTAATTAAATAAAATATTATATTATTTAAATTATTAATATTACTCAATTAAACAATAAATACTAAAAATAAATAAGTTTCAATCAAACAAAATTACTAAATAATCTTTAATCTATAAAAGAATAAATTATAAATTATAAGATACAAGTTTAGATAGTTATTTTAGAACTTAAATCGGAATTTGTTTATGACATGTATAATTAAATTGATTACACGGGTTGTGTGATACCCTCGAATCTGGAACACGGGTTGATCAGGTACACGCACAAATCAAGGAATATCAACACAATTAATAATAGACAAGCACGTAATACAAAATGATAAATAAGAAATAAATGAATAAAACATAAAGGAAAACTAAATATTAATTAAATAATTTAAATCCTCCAACAATAAAATCCAATAAATAATAATTATCTCTGATATCAATAATCCTCTATAATACAACTTGTAAATTGATACTGTGTGGATCCCTAATTAAATCCCAACTGACAATAAATAATAAGAATAACTGTCTAAACTGAATACTAAAACATAAAGTAGAATTCTACGAGATAATTAGAAACAGTAATGATGACTGGTCTCTGTTCGGCACGAACGAGATATACACCTATTATTGACGATGACCTGAAAAATAAATGGTGGGTTAGACTCACAAACAAGTTATTTCTATTACATTTCACAGAGACATAAAGAACGAATATATCATAGTCAATTCATGCAATAGCTACGTAGTTGTGTTTGTATGTGTGTGTGTATATATATATATATACACACTAAATGACTTTCATTGGACGGTAGGACAGAACACGCAATCCCCCATATCTAGTTATGCATCTCTAAGACAATATACGCTCCCTGATTACTGATCCTAAAATATTAAGTTCATATCGTGGCACATATCCATATATATATAAATTCATATCCTATCCAAAACATATAATAAACTATCCCCATAGTCTTTCAATAGCATGTCATTCACATATGAATTCGTGGCTGGACACAAAAAATGAGATTAAACTTATTAGTCAGCTCATTTATAATATGTCTACATATCCTGAATGTACATGAAATAATCTAGAAATAAACATGATAATAATCATACAAATATCCATTACATTTAGTAACATGTAATTAACTTACATCGTAATTAATATAAATTATCATCAAGTTATCCTTTTATGATTAATAAGCCGATTAATCTCGTGAATTATAAATACAACTCTCATCAACTATGAAAATATATATACATACATGTGGTTTATTCGACCGAGGGTAGCTTTGTCATTTTAAGTAAACTAATATTTTAGATGAAAATAAAATATTTTATTACGACAAATATGACACATTTTATGTCACTTACAACTGTGTTTGGATCTCAATTATGAGTTAAAATGTCATTGCCCAAATAGTATTCAAATTATAATTGGGTGTCTTTAATTCAAACCTGAAGATGTGAGTGCAAATTACCTTTAATTTTTAAATTATATTTATTCAGGACACTAATGTTTTACAACATTCAGTATTTTATTCCAAAATTGAGTGTTAGGGTGTTTGTAGCACGTACATACCTTGAGAAAGAATTCGATACGCTCAATTCACCGTGCACCAATAGCCCAATTCATACTTGGGGACCCTATTTTTAATTTGCGTTAGAGCTCATGTAGTAGATTCCACACAATTCAACCCACGGAATTGAACGGTTGAAATGCAATAATGGTGCAGCACTCGTCTCCAAAAATACAGTTGAAAAATCTAAGTCGGGAGAAAGAGACAAGAATTGTGGAATACAGTAGCCATGTAATGTTAAACGGTGGAATAGGCATTTCCGTATGTGCTGCCCCACAAATCCTCTGTAGCCAGATTTTTGTCACAGGCTTTACCTGAAAATGGATCACACGTACATTACACATCCCTATTCGTCCTCCTACGCTTTAGAGTTCAGAAAATTAATGTGCCGGCTGTTTTGTAATTTCACATCTCAGTGTCAAAATTGTGGATGTATCAAAACACCAAGGGTAAGAAAGTCAAAGAACAGAAACACCTTTAAGCCCTAAAAGCCCCAATCGGCGCCATTTACTTTCATGCAAAGTATCTGCCACATGGAGCCGACGATGACACGTGTCCGCGTAGTGGACAACATGTTCAAGCGAATAATAAGAGAGGCGGAACACACAACTAGGGTTCAATTGGAGAGAGAAGATTTGTCAGTCATGCTACCTTTCCTTCCACACATGAGAGATCCAAGCCTGGACCCACCACGTTTGTACCCCACTCTCACCAACCAATTCTTTAATATTCCCTATCTTATTATACATTATCAATTTATATTATGTGATAATATATGCGGAAGAAACATTATAGCTTTCAAACTAAACTAATTTCGAGTCTAATAAAGAAATAATATAATCATCCCCTCAAAATGCTTATACATCAACTTTTAATTTAATTACAATAAAAAGTGGGAAGAAATTTAGTTGGGTCAGATTAGTTCACATCGAATGCTAGTATTTTGTTACGGTAATACATAAAAATTGGAAAATAATAATTTATATACACATCGAATGCTAGTATTTATAATAATAAAGAAATAATATAATCATCCCCTCAAAATGCTTATACATCAACTTTTAATTTAATTGCAATAAAAAGTGGGAAGAAATTTAGTTGGGTCAGATTAGTTCACATCGAATGCTAGTATTTTGTTACGGTAATACATAAAAATTGAAAAATAATAATTTATATACACATAATGGATAATAAATTCTAAATTTTTCATTTTGAAAAGTTAGAAATTAATAGATGACTATAATTCTTGTATTTTTAAATAGGTTTTATAATTTCATGGTGGGTTCCACCTAAGATATTCAGAGTCGACCAGAAGCTCATGGGCCTTTAAGCTTACCTGGCAGCAACCATATACGCACCGTTTCCAATTTCGCGTGAAGGGGCGTCATTGTTTTTTTGGCGCGTGAATTGTGTGGCCACAGCTAGGGTTCTTCCTCTCTAAAATTACAATATAAACACTCCCTCACTCACTCCCTCTTCTCTCTCTAGGAGTACAAACACTCGCAAATCTCTCCTTCCCTCTCTAACAGTTGTACTCTCTCGCTCTTCTTTTGTTTTTGGCTTTGGCTGGGCCCGGAGACTGCAGACACAGAGAGGGAGAGGGACTATAATTAAAATCTTAAAGCAGAAGCAACAACCATCACGGGGATACTGGTGAAACCCCCACCACCTGTTTGATATATTGAATCGATTATATCTATAGACGTTTCAGATGGCAGAGGACTTGGACGACGGCGAGTTCTGGCTCCCTCCTCAGATCCTCACCGACGAAGACATACTCATGGACTACAGCAATACTCACAACCTTAACAAGAGCATCAATGGAGACAAAACCGACTCAGGGTTTTGCTTTCCTCTTGATTTCTCATATGGGTTTGGCTCTTCTGCTACGCCGTACTCGGATCTGAGCTCGCCGGTTGAGTCCGTCGTGGGATCGACCGAGACAGAGAGTGACGAGGAGGACTTCATCACTGGGTTGACTCGGAAGATGGCCCACTCAACTCTTCTGGACGAGTTATGGAAAACCGACACTAGTTTGGGCTGTGAGAACCAGAAGGTAATGCTTCATTTCTCGATTTTTTTGTGCAATTTTTTCTATGTTCTTTTTGATAGCTGGTCTATGTCTGTCTGGTTATATGTATGTTCCGTTAAATATGGTACTGTTCAACTGTTTTGCCTTATATTTTGTGCAAGTTTGGTTCTGATTTTGAAGCTGTAACATGGTTTTTCCTTGTTTTCTTGTAACTTGTAGACTTGGCCTATGTCTGGTTCGCCTCAATCTACACTATGTGGAGTGATTGGTGGGTGTGGTTGCAAGAAGTGTTCAACTCGTTCAAGTCGGGGAAGCCCCAACTGTGCGTCACAATTGTCGTCGCCGCCACCGTCTTCAGCGGCGATGAGCATGAATGAGGCCGCTTACGATCTGCTGTACGCGGCTGCAGGGAAGGTTGCTAGGTTGAGGATGATTGAAGAAAGAATTGGGTGTTACGAGAACAGGGGAATTTTGGCGCCACCGCGACGAACCTGCCCTGTTTCTGCACCTTTAAAGAAAGCAAACCCAAACCCTAACCCTAATACTGGGTTTCATTCCAACTCCAACCCCTCGCTCTCTTACCAGCAATTGCAAGTGAGCCAAGTATGCCTAAATTCGGTATTTTGATTAGTAATCTATATACGCCCAATTTGTCTACACACACACACACACACACACACACACACACATATATATATATATGATTTGATTTGTTGTTTGGTCTGATACAGTTTGAGCAGCTGAGGCAGCAACAGATGATGAAGCAGCAACAGGGATCGGTGGGTTGGGGACAGTCGAAGGGGACTTGGCAGAACCAAGTGGGTGTGGTTCAGAACAGAGCACCACGAAATGGTAGCGCTCGTCCTCTGGGCTTGTCATCATCTGCTTGGCCTACTTTGCAACAATCCCAGCAACAGCAACATCCACAGCCACAGGCACAACCTGGCTCAGGCATGAGGGCTGTTTTTCTTGGAAATCATGGGGCTAAAAGAGAATGTGCAGGCACTGGGGTGTTCTTGCCTAGGAGGATTGGCACTCCCACCGAAACCCGCAAGAAACCAGGTCCGCTTTGTTTCTCAAATTTTTGTATATAGATGTGCATACTCATTTCTAGACATCTTCAGATTTGTGTCGGTTAACAATAGGGTGTGTTTGTTTGAGTTTTGGGGGTAAATGTTTGTAGCTACATATTTCTCAAGGAATTTTGTGATTTGGGTGGTTTTTGTTTTCTAATCATTGGAATTGCACGATCGAGTTTTAACTGTGATGTTGATTTGATTTATTTTTACTAGAAGTATATTGTTGCATATGGCTCCTATGGCTTTCCCTTTAACTATTTTGAGGGGGGGCTTTGTTTGTTTTGTTCATTTTACTGATGAGAATGATTATGTAATTGCAGCTTGTTCAACTGTTTTACTCCCAGACAGAGTGGTGCAGGCCCTGAACTTGAAGTTGGACACCATGGATGCTCAATCCCAGTTTCAGTCTCGTTATAACAGAAGTCTCTCTCCTGAATATGGTAAAACCTCTCACACAGTGTATAAGATTGCGTATATATAATACTATATGTATAATGAACTTGATCTAAATAATATAGATGTCTTGTTTTAATTTGTAGATGCTGCTGTGAAGTATCGAAATAATGTTTTGATGGCTCAAGAGTTGCGCAACGTCCGGCCACAACCGGCCGTGCACCATGAGGTCCGGCTTCCTCAGGAGTGGACTTACTGACTCCATTGTGCTTTTTTTACCATCTGGGTCATCACTAATTTGTGATTGGTTCTTTTGAAAGCTTTACAAATTGAATTGAAATTGAAATTGAAGGTTTAGGAGAAAGAAGAAGGAAGTTTGTTAGTAGTAGTGGGTAGTAAGTTTGCAATAGGAAATTAGTAGCAGCAACAAAGTATAGAATAGGGTAATAATAGGTTGAAGAAGAAGAAAAAGAAATGTTAGGAGAAGAAAATGGTTTTTTGGGTAGTGTCAGGAAAATAAATGGTCCTATCTGGTTTTTTTGAAGGGTAGAAGAATGAATGGCCTTTTGTTTCCCTTGGAAGAGGTGGTGGGATGACCAGTTTGTTTGTTCTCTCTTTTGGGTCATGTTTTGTTTGAAATTTGCAGCCTACAATTTTACTACTTGTAATTTGTAATGACCCTGCGCTCATCATCACCGGGAATCAGTAATGATAATAATAATGCAAGATTTGCCTTGTTAAATGTTCTCTCTTTTTATGCTTAATTTTGTTGGAGTTCATGTAGACTTGATTTTTTTATTGACAATGCTCAAAATTCAAACGAGTTGGAGTTGATTAAAATTATTTGCAGGCTGTCCTAGTGGGAATGGCTCTTGGCTCTAGGTTACTAAAAAGAGACTGAAAGCCCCACAAGTGTACTCTTTCTTCGTTTACACAAACAATTTTTAAAAATCTTTACCAAATTTTATACTATCAACTAGGTTGTTTTCATATTTGTAAATTTATAGTTCGAGATTCAAGAATACCAGGCACGAAAAATTAGAACATTTCTCTTTAACTGAGGGGGATCATACTTGTTTAACAATAATAAGAATATCGTCACGTAATGAGCACAGTTTAATTGGTAGGGTAAAGTGAATTCTTATTATTATTATTTTTTTTTTCTGGAAGGGAGTATATCAGAGTTACTTTTCCTTTCCCACCCTCTTGTTTCGTCACAATAGTCCTTTATTTCTGTCAATTGTAGATATATAATAGTATATATTTACAAATTAATAATACATAAAAGTATGAATAGTGGTAGTGAAGTTGTAAAGCAAGCATGTTATTAACCAATGGAGGGTGGAAGTGAGTGATTGGTTTTGCTTAGAAGGGAAGTTTCGCGTGAACAGTGCGGTTGAAGTTTATGACTTTATATTGAGAGAGCACGGTGAATTGATGTGTGATTGACACATAAATAGCCAACCCCATTCTGCGAATTACTAGTTTTTTCTTCACGCTTTATGGAATGGAGATCTTCAATGAATCTTTGCGCTGTCACACCTTTCCTGTCTGTCACTAGGGGTATGGGGTCACTCTTGGTTTCACATAGGCCTTACATTGAGCACGTCAAATTGAACTGACCAGGTCCACTGCCGTGTAAACAAGTTAGCCGGAAGAGAAGAACTTATACTCATACCATTTAAGCTAAATCTATATTGGTTAATGTTGAGTCGGTTAAGATATTACCACAAGGTTTTTTTTTATTATTATTTTTTTTAGTATATAAGTTTGTTAAGTTTTAAAAAATAAACAATGACAACTTAAGGTCACATTTCGGTTATAAATTTAGTCATGTGCAAGATATTTTTAAAATATAAAATTTTGAAAATATCATTTTGGCACTTCAATCTTTTTAGCATTCAGTTTATTATTTGTTTAAAAATTAAATATTAATTTAAAAAAAAAATTATAGAGAGTTATACAATATATATTATAAAAATGTTTTTCGCTCACAACTCGTTACTGAATTGTGAAACCCTAGGTGTGTGAGACAACGCATTTCAAAATGGATAATGTGTGTGTGTTGTTTATGGCAAAGGATGTGCCTTCCATGTTATTGGGTGTCATGTTGACCTGGTGATGCCTTGGCCATTTCAATTCCTTAAATATTATTATTTGAATAATGATAGGAAGCCGAATTGTATTCCCAAATCAATCACCGAACTTGTCGTGGTGTAGCCACGTCAGATCCTCTAAACACTAAATTAAAAATCTAAAAATAAATAAAAGGTAAGCTGATGGAGGTCTCGGAGCCATGGCTGATGCGATGATAGCTGAAGGAGGTGGGTATACACAAAGATGAATATAAATATATATACACACACAGATTACAAATATGTTGGTAGGTCATAAATGTTCAAGGATTCTTCCACATTCTCTGCATCTTCTCTGTTCCCTGGTTCATGGATTCTTCCTCATTCTTCCTTTTCCGATTTTGGCTGTATCTGTTTCTCTCTAAAATTTCACAAAATCAAAGGGATACAGAGCATTATAATTCATTCTATATCTGCATTTTTCCAATCGCTCTCTTCAATTTCGTATCTCGCTTGCACATATTTAGAATTTAAATAAGCCCTTTCTTTTCTGCCCTAATCCGAATTTTTCTTTTTTGCTACATAAGTTTGCAAAGAAGATTATGCCGACCTAGGCAACCTAACATCTCAATTGACTACAATGAGATTAATGGTGGAAGTATGTGTTTTGTTATATTTCTCTTCGGTAATCTAATTTTTTTGAAATTTCCATTGTTAAATCTGAATCAGAGATGGAAGTGGCCAGAACCATTAATTTCTGAAAAGAAGTACAAATTTTATCAAACAAAATTATTCAGAAATACACGAAGCTACTCCCTGCTGCAATTCCATGACTTTTGGATTTGTTTTAATTTTGTAAAATCGAAAAGAGAAAGAGAGGGCGGAATCTAAGAAAGAGAGAAAGAACGTTTCACTTTCGTGTAATGCTTAGCTATTCACTGGTGAGTAGCTTCACAATACTCACCCCTTGTGCGTTCTAATAATAATTTATCACATCAATTTTAATAAAAAAAAATAACCCACGTTTATTCAATGATTGATCTGAGAAAATACAGGAAAACTGGTGAGTAGTTTCACTCTACTCACCCCTTGTGCATTCTAATAACAATTTATCACATCAGCTTTAAAAAAAAAAATAACCCACGTTTATTCAGTGGTTGATCCGAGAAAATACAGGAGGACGTGAATTATTTTTTTTATTAAAGCTGATGTGTTAAATTGTTATTGGAACACACAAGGGGTAAGTAGGGTGAAGCTACTCACTAGTGAGTAGCTAAACATTATCCTTCACTTTTCCACGTATTTAGAAAATTTGGAGATTACGTGGTTGCCACATTAGGTTCGACTCCCCATTCTGGCAATACTGGTCAGTTTCTTTATATTGATTAATGTTGAGTCGGTTAAGATATTACCACATGGTTATTTATTTATTTATTATTATTATTTTTTTTAGCATATAAGTTTGTTAAGTTTAAAAAAATAAACAATGACAACTTAAGGTCACATTTCAGTTATAAATTTAGTCATGTGCAAGATATTTTTAAAATATAAAATTTTGAAAATATCATTTTGACACTTCAATCTTTTTAGCATTCAGATTATTATTTGTTCAAAAATTAAATATTAATTTTTTAAAAAAATTTATAGAGAGTTATACAATATATTACTATAAAAGTGTTTTTGGCTCACAACCTATTACTGAATTGTGAACCCCTAAGTGTGTGAAACAACGCATTTGAAAATGGATAATGTGTGTGCATTGTTTGTGGTGAAGGATGTGCCTTCCATGTTATTGGGTGTCATGTTGACCTGGTGATGCCTTGGCCATTTCAATTCCTTAAATATTATTATTTGAATAATGATAGGAAGACCGAATTGTATTCCCGAATCAATCACCGAACTTGACGTGGCGTAACCACGTCAGATTCTCTAAACACTAAATTAAAAATCTATAAATAAATAAAAGGTTCTCGGAGCCATGGCTGATGCGATGATAGCTGAAGGAGGTGGGTATACACAAAGATGAATATAAATATATATACACACACAAATTTACAAATATGTTGGTAAGTCATAAATGTTAAAGGATTCTTCCACATTCTTCTCTGCATCCCTTCTCTGTTCCCTGGTTCATGGATTCTTCCTCATTCTTCCCTTTCCGATTCTGGCTATATCTATTTCTCTCTAAAATTTCACAAAATCAAAGGGATACAGAGCATTATAATTCGTTTTATATTTGCATTTTTCCGATCGCTCTCTTTGATTTCGAATCTCGCTTGCACATATTTAGAATCTAAATAAGCCATTTATTCTTTGTCCTAATCAGAAATTTTCTTTTTTGCTACATAAGTTTGCAAAAAAGATTATTCACTAGTGAATTATTCACTAGTGAGTAGCTTCATCCTACTCACCATTTGTGTATTCAAATAACAATTTACCACATCACCTTTAATAAAAAAAATAACCCACGTTTATTCAATAGTTGATTCGAATAAATACACGAGGACGTGAGTTATTTTTTTTTTATTAAATCTGATGTGGTAAATTATTATTGGAACATACAAGGGGTGTGTAGAGTGAAGTTACTCACCGGTGACTAGCTAAAAATTGTCCTTCACTTTCCCACGTATTTAGGAAATTTGGAGATGACGTGGTTGCCACATCAGGTTTAACTCCCCATTCGGGCAATACTGTTCAATTTCTCTATCACCATTCTTATTATTTTTGTTCTTTTGTGAAATCCTAATGTAATCCCTTTTGACTCCACAAAATTTATAGTCTCATTAAATATGAAAATGTGCAGTAATTTATGTACATGGTATGTGCTATAATATGAATGATTGTGCATTTCTTCCATATTTGTTGTTGTTGTTGAAGGGTACGTCTTCCATATCCTTTCTGAAAGAAGTATTGAACATAAGGTGAAATCCTAACAAAAGAACAGTTGTAACCTCATATGTCAATATTTATTTTATTTTATTAGTTTATATAATTACAAATTTTATTATTATATTGCCTATATGCATTTGTAAATTATTGTATGAGTATCATGTAACGTTAAATTGTTGGTAAAATATGTGTTTCATGTGACATTTAAGATATAATAACCCTTATACTAATATGATATGAGATAATTAACAATATGCTAAGAAATGATTAATTAAATATACAACTATATATTTAATTAAATATGCAAAATGAAGTAATCAATTAATAAATAATAAATAAAGAATCTGGACCGAAGCTAGTATTGAATACTATGTCCTTAAGACAGATTCGCCCCGCTATGGTGCTAACGGACTCAGTGGCGTCTATCTCCCAGGATACAACGGTCTACATCCACTAGTAGCAGCACTACAAACTCGTGGATATGGTGAACCTCCTCCGTGTAATACTCCATCTAACTCAAAAATGCATCTATAGTGTATAAATGCTGAATTGGGTGCAATCCGAGTCAAATGGTTTGGACTAATCTTAATATGGCTTGATGAAATTGGATTAGGGTCTAAGTGGCTCAGACTACTTAACCTATGATTTGAACCCATTTCGGTTGGGTTCAAGTCTAGAGAGGGAGATAGAAGAAAATGAAAATGAACTATTTGCAAATGACAGCCCAAGGGGGTATTTATAGAAATAGAAATGTCTTTTTTGATTGGGTGCGTCTCTT